ACATGAAGCTTTGGCTTCACTTTTCAGAACCGGAGGTTGCCGCCTGTCTAAGAATAAAACTGGTAGAACGCAAATGTTTAATCAGTTATATGATTAAAAATCGGGGCCCCAAAAGTTTGAGAACACCTGCTTTAACGGAGAAGAGTAAAATGAGTTTGTTTTGCACACTGTAATGATGTAATGTTATCATTTATTGGGGCCTGTGTGTGGACTCTACTGGTGTGCTGGTGTCTTGTATCGAATTCTTTAAACAGAGAAAGAGCTTCACCATGTTGGCTTTAAAAATATGCTTTAAAGTGGAAAAAGCTTGAACTTCTCAGACCTGAAATCATTGTGTTTTCCCACCTCCTTGTTTTTTTATGGTAGTATAAGATAGTGAAGTTGGTCAAAAGTATAGTTTCAACATCACGTTACAGAGACTTTGTGACTTTACGTCAGAGACACACCTGCAGGACCGGAACCATCTCTTCTTCATGTGGTCATGATTGGTACATAATTACTCAACTGGTGTTGTGGTGTCGCTGGTGAGACTCTGAGAGGTGTCACAGAGTGTGGCAACATGCACACGGAACAGTAATGGTTCTTCACTGGTTCTTTTAAAGGCTTTCTGGTTCCACGAAGAACCATTTTATCTTTTGGATGGGTCTTCATGTTTGTCATATGGTTCTTTGGGATATTAAAGGGTTCTTAATTCATGTTTGAGTTACTGGATGGTGGGGGATGGTCTACATCAGCAAAAAAGGTTCTTTAAATTCTTCAAAGAACCAGAAATGGCGCCTGAAGTTTCTTAAATGTTTTTGTTTAAAGAAGTGTTTAAGAAAATGGTTCTTTGAAGAAACTGTCTGAAAGGGGCTTTGTGGAACCAGAAATAGTTCTTATATGGCATCACTCTGAAGAACCAGATGGAACCAGATGGAGTCCAACAGTGTTATCAATCCATTATTATTGATCCACATTCCTTTTAATCCAGAATCTTATTAAACTCTCCATAAAAACAGCTGCAGGCTCAGCTTCCCACATTCTGATGCTACTCATGCTCTTCCTGGGAATTACTGTTGTGGATTAAAAGTGTTTACTCATCCAAGTAGCAGCAGATATTTCTTCACACCAAATAACGTGGGCCAGCCTGTCGAAGAGCTCCTCAGCCAATCACGACTCTCCCTCCTCCCTGCATACTGCACACAAAACAGAGAGGACCCCGAGGAGGTTTCCATACAGCTCTCTGCAGGCACGCTCATGCTGTTTGGACTTCAATCTGTGCAGAAATAACATGATAACGATGAAAGGTTTTGTTTTAATAAGCATCCTGGCAGCTCTGGCAGCCTCTGAGGCCGTAAGGACATCTTTATCTCACTTGTACTGAAATGTTGCGTTTCATTTTATGAGATTTATGAGATTTATTTTATACTTTTTAGGGCTTATCGAGAGAAAGAAGACAGGCGTTTCCTGGTTTCTCCCACTCCTCTTCGTCTTCTTCATCCTCTTCAGCCTCTTCGTTCTCCTCCTCCGTTGAAAGTTCAGGTGAGAAACTCTACATTCGTCAATGCTCTCTGTTCACATCAACATCAGGCTTTATTGAAGTGTGTCATTTCATTTGTCGTACAGGAGGGATCTGTCTGAACGGAGGCAGCTCTGTTCCGTCCCTGACATCTGGTGAACACATGTTCTGTTTGTGTGTCGGCGGTTTTGAGGGCATTCGCTGTGAGACAGGTAAGAATCTGAGCTCACAAACCAAATTGCATTCACATTATTTTACTGAAAGCTTCCTGCTGTTCCTGCAGTGAACGGGGCTCAGTGCTACGAGGGAGTGGGACTTTACTACAGAGGCACAGAGTCTAAATCAAAGAGTGGACGGACATGTGAGGAGTGGGATTCAGACACCCGGGAGCGGTATATGTCTTCAGATGTCCATTCAGGGAGGCACAACTACTGCAGGTAGGCTGCCATAACTCCATATACACATCGATGCTTATCTGGTTTTACTTTGTACTTTTATCCACCAGTCACCACCACCAGGCTCCCATACAGACTTGCAAAAGACCCCACCACCTCTCACGACCAAGACACACAGACTTTATAGTTGTTGAGCCTCTCTTTGTGGACATTGTGTCTCTTTGTGGTAATTTTTGTATGTGGTTGTTTTGTTCCTTTTCATAGTCGTGAATCACTTTTGACGTGTGTCTCTTTGCAGCTGTTTTGCATAAGTAGAAAAAAGCATATAGATACCAGGAGATATTTAGAGGTGCCAGGTCTCAGATTGTACACTCAACTATAAAGTCCTGTACTGAAGTTCAAGTGCCTCTCAGCTTAATTGATTTGATGTGTTTGTCAGAAATCTTCTCTACAAACGGCGTCCGTGGTGTTACGTGTGGAAAAACCAGCAGCTAATTTGGGAGTATTGTGGTATTCCACGTTGTAGCTTTGAGTCGTGTAAGTACATTCTCTCTCTCTACAGTCTTCCAATTAAATCTGAGCCAAATTACATGTTTCATTGGTGTTAAACACTCTCTAACCTTGTAGTTCCAACCCCGCCTTCGCCTGCACCCACGGAGCCACAGCCAGGTAACTTCCCGCTTTACTCAACTCACTGTTTCACATTTTTAAAACTTTTTTCCCTTCGATTGCTTTGAACTTGGTTTCCCCCCCAGCTGCAGAGTCGACATGTGGCCAGCGCTCCAGGAGAAAGCACATGAAGATCGTGGGAGGAACAGTTGCCACTGTGGAATCCCACCCGTGGGTCGCTGCCATATTCTGGCGCAGCAAATCCAAGGAGAAGGTTCTCCGCTGTGGGGGGAGTCTGATCTCGGCCTGCTGGGTTCTCACAGCTGCCCACTGCTTCCCTGAAGGGTAGGAAGTGACATCACGTCCTGTAACCGAGGCAGGTGCTGAGAAATTAAAGTGACAGCACGTTGACTGGACTTTTCCGGTAAATTTGTGTTTCAGCTCCCAGGCCAAACCCCGCCGCTTCTCCGTCATCCTGGGGAAAAATGTCATGAATGAGACGGACCGGGCTGCGGAACAAACGTTCAGGGTAGAAGAAATCATCCTCCATGACGGGTTTGACAACAGTGAAGGGGACTACAACAACGACATCGGTACGACCATGGATGGATTACTCAATACGCCTACCGGGCACAGGGCCAGGGGCCCAAAGTGTCAGGGGCACCCCTGGCCTTCATCTACTAAATGTCACTCAATGAGACATGTATCAACCAGGAAGAGAAACATAAAACAATTACAAAGAGACACAAAGCTACTTCAAAGAGACACAAAACGACTACAAAGAGACACAAAACAACTACAATGACAAAAAAATGACCACAAAGAAACAAAACCCTAAAAGGAGTCGCTAAACGACAAGAAATGGGCAAAACATCAACAAAGAGACAAAAAAAACAACTACAAAGAGAAACAAAACGATTTAAAAACTACGGGCTGAAAAAATAACAACAATTAATTACAAAGTGACATAAAACCACAGAGAAATGTTTAACGACAATAAAGACACAAAAAATAACCACAAAGAGACACGAAACAACTACAAAAAGATGCAAATGGCCACAGACATAGTGACACAAAACCACAGAGAGATGCGTAAGTCGTTACGCAAAGAGACGAAAAACAACAACAAAAAGAGGCAAAACAACTATACAACCTGTGTATCTTGCTCCTACAATGGAGGTGGTAGAGTCTTTAGCATGTCTGTGTTCAGAGGCTTGTCGTCTCACAATCCGCCCATGTTAATGAACCCGTCTTTAGGTGACTCAATGTAATATAGTATTGAATAATCAAAGCAGTAATTCCCTGATAAATGTTTTGCAGCTCTGCTGAAGCTGAGGGCCAAACATGGCAAGTGTTCGGAGGAGAGCGACTCGGTGAGGACTGTTTGTCTGCCGCCGCCTCAACAGAAGCTCCAGCCTGGAGTCACCTGTGAGATCGCTGGATACGGGAAAGAGAAACACGGTGAGTCCTGGTTGGGCAACTAAACTACTTAGTTAGGTTTAGGAAAGCATCTTGATGTGGGTTAAAACGTTACTGAAGTATGAAAGCTGCGTAACAAAATAAACCCACCGTGTGTGACCTTTTGTGGTCTTTATAATTCCGGGTTAATGATGACGTGGATAACATGTGAACTGATTTCGTTGGATATCAACAAATTACAGTGCCATCATTTTTTGTAGGTATATGAGTGGAGCACGAGTAGAAACCAGCACCTTAAAACCTGAACAGCACTGAAGTGAATGTAATTTGATGCTGCTTGTAATCATGTGTATTTTACGAGCCATAATGACTTGTACACTATTCTAACAGCATTTACTTCTCTGCAGGTTTGTGGTACAAGTCTAAGTTCCTCAGAGAGGCTCAGGTGAACCTCATCTCCGACGACGTGTGTCGACACCAGGACTATTATGCAAACTTGATCAGTGATAACATGTTTTGTGCCGGTCGTCCCGACTGGAGCCGGGACGCCTGCGAGGTATTCTCGACAAGTCCAAACTCGATTTGAGTTCCAGGGATCAAGTTTGCTGATTTCCTTTAATGCTGCTTGTCTCTCTCTCTCTCTCTCTCTCTCTCTCTCTCTCTCTCTCTCTCTCTCCTCCATCAGGGAGACTCAGGAGGGCCTCTGGTGTGCGAGGTCGGCAGCAGGCTCTTCTTGTTCGGGGTCATCAGCTGGGGTGACGGCTGCGCGAAGGAGAATCGACCCGGCGTTTACACCACAGTGACCAACTACAACGGATGGATAGCGGAGAAGACGGGGCTGTCGTCCATCACTGCCGGCTCCATGTTTCCTCAGAAGTGAAGGACGTAAACTTTTAGTGAGCTGCTGGCTTCCTATTTCCTTGGAGGCCTTAAAGGATAAAACTGCAGTATTTTATATTTTTCTGAAACGTCCCGTAAAAAGACCAAAACCAACCATGAATTAATTCTAACAAGTAACGTGTGGGAATCTAAAGTCTGATATATTCTACTCCTCTATGCAATAGACCCCTTTTCTGTAAGTAAACATAATGTCATATTTTTGTGGGCGGAGCCTAGGTAGAGGCGGAATAATTCTCTAAACGCGTTAGCTAACGCTGGCTAGCAGGTGTTGTTGGCTTGGTTTGACCACAGACTGTATATAAGAAGTGGACGTAAAACGTCTGAACAAATGATCTGACTGGACAACATGTATTTGAGTGGTCAGCAGTCATGTAAAATGATTTGTAGTTATAACACTGTCATGGTCCTTTAACATGTTTTCTAAGCTTTGTATTTATACAGAAGTGTCATTTCAATACATACGATATAGCTTTGGGTAACTATTTCTATCTTGTATATTGCAATGATATATTCTTTAAAGATATAGGATTTAATTTTATATATTTTTTGGATACATTTTTGTACATTTTCTTTGTAAAACTTTATGCAGAGAAATTTAGAATTGCACTTTGATACAGTAATCACCACAATATTCACCCAAAAAACGTTAAGAATTGTCGTGAAATATATATAAAAACCTACTTCTAATTTTCACTGTCTAGTAAAATCATATTGTTTTCTGTCATGTTCTAACCACGGGCTCATGTTGTTTTAAGAACTACTGTATGTGGTTTATATTGCATGAGTTTGTACTTATATTTTGTATATGTTGTTTTACACCAAAGGCCACATTGGAAATAACTGTTTAACACTTGCATGAAGAGTACAATTGTACAAATATCTGACCTGAAATAAATAAAAAACTGTAAATATTAATCAAGATGCTATTCTGAAAACTGAATTGTTGCTTTTACGATGCTGTAAAAACAAACAAATACAAAGACCAACAGACTGTGGCTGACGGTTTTAATGGAAAACATTTCTGTTCTATGCTGCACATTCATTTCTTAGTCTTTTCACTTTACATTTACTCAAGTATTGTACTTAAAGTTACTGTAAGGAACTTCTAACTGGTTGTGAAACCGTCTCGGTTTAATTCTGAAGCCTCTTTATGACCTACGACAAAACATCAGCTCAGAGCAGAAGTATTCAGATGCTTAAGTGAAGGTGGAAATACTGTCATGACCTTTTGTTTAGTCTGTTTCCTGTTTTATTTTGAAGTTCTTTGTTGTTTAATGTTTTTGTTGCTGCCGTATGTTCGTTTCTTTCATGTTTTTTTATGTTTTTGGGCTGGACCAGAATTGCCTTGTGGGAAAAAATAAAGCTTGATTTAAAATTGGATTTAATATTGAATATGAAGCGTTACATATGTTGTGTTCTACTTGGTAGATTAGAGGCATTGAACTGCATCACAGTATATGAGCATTTCATGTGCTTGTTTTCTTTTGGAAAAAGTAACTCAATTTATTTTAAAAAATCTAGTGGAGTAGAAGTATAAAGAAGCAGAATTTGTATGTCAAAGTACAGTACTTGAGTAAAAGTATATTTCCACCACTGATTAGTACATCAAAACAAGATTTCTTAAAGGCTTCAAGGTATAAAAGAAAATGTCACGTTGCTTTTGGAAAATAACTTTCCTTCTGTGTTGAAACGAGTTGAGATGAAAACTAAAGAGTGTTTCTTTAGTCCAAGTCTTTTATTTGTGCTTTTGTGTTGTGGAATCCAAATTTTCCGTTTGAATTCTCCACATATATTGAGCCTTCTGGGCCTTTAGAGTTTAAATAATCCCTCTACGATCTGCTTCAATGTGTCAGGTTACTATGATCTACTGTAATTTATTGATAAATACCTTTTAGAGACAATGAGTTGAGTTTAAAGTGGTGTCAGCTGCATTTTAATTATGTCCCATTGTGTCTTCGAAGAATAAAAAGACTAAGTCATGCAGGACGCGCCATGTTTCCATTTGACCGCAAGGTGGCGCTGTTGTAGTAGAAGTTAAACACAGGTGACCCAGAGAGGTTGATTATCCTGCAGGATGTCACAAGGGTGTTGATTCAAATTTATTTTTCTAACATGTTCCGTCTGTTTGTCCCAAAGTTAAAGCAGAAGAATAAAGATGTGCAGAGTTCAAAGGCCACCAGCACACATTGATTTACATATTTACTAAAGTAATGCGTCCCAGATGGTCTTCATTTTGTCACCACTGTTCATGTAAGTGACTCATCAATCTTCTACTGTCAGTCTGCATAGCAACAGGAAGCTCTGTCGACTGAAATTTAATTTATTTTACATTCTAGAGAAGAAATACTGCACATTCTGCAAGTTCATGCTACATTTAGCTTTATTCCTCGTGAAACATATTTGTTGTTTTGCACATCATTTATATGAGACGGGGCTGAGCTTTGGCCGGTCGAACGGCAAATAAGTTGCATGTGTTCATTTTTTGAACATTTGCAAACATTGTTTTCTGTTGTAAAATGCACTTTTATGGTTGTGATTGATTAGATAGTGTTGCTTTTGTTTAGATGTGCAGACGTGAGAAAAAAACAACAACACGGAACAGAAATGTCAGAATGAATTAGGGAGCGGTGATGACATTTCCTGTTGGACGAGTTGCTGTTGCAATGGAGCAAAATGTACTGAGGCTCTGAGCGGAGACATTAAGATCGTATCATCAGCATTGAAAACTCACGTTTTGTTTGTTTTTAAATCATGCATGCTGTGATGCTATGCTTTTAAACCAGCAAGAGGTCCACTCCCATCGTCCAACGACTGAGAATAAAGCTGCGTTCCAAATCGCACACTTTTTACTTTTAGCACATACTTTGTAATGAACTAAATCTTTTTTTCTGGCTGATTAATTGGTATTTTTATTTTTTTGGTACTCACATCCTTCACTTATAAATCAAAGTAGTAATACAACAAAAGTACTCCATTACTTGCGACTTAAATACTGAACTTAAAATCCTATTTCAGTAAAGGTATTACCAGCTAAATGTATTTCAATGATGATTCTGCAGAATGTGTGTTGAATGAGTGTTAGTGCCGAGGTTTCAATTAGTATGTAGCGCTTTACTGTTTAGTCCAGTGGTTCCCAACATAGGGGTCGGGCTCCTCCAAAGAGCCACAACATTTCTGCCTATTTGTGGTTGTTTTCCGTCTCTCTGTGCTCATTTTGCATCTCTTTGTTTTTGCAAATCTATGAGGTATTTTTGCATGTATTTGTGGTCGTTTTCTGTTTCTTTGTGGTATTTTTTGTTTCTTTGTGGAAACAAAGAAACCACTGTGCCCAGTGGTAATCGATCCATGTGAATGTGTCCCTCAGACTGTTTGCTGTTCGATGGACTTGCTCAGGTTCCATCCATCACTTCCATCCAGCTCATGCTGGAACAGGTTCCTCGAACATAAAGCACAAAGAAAAAGCAGATGTCTGTTGTTTCAGGCTTCTGTTCATTTATCAACCTTTGGCACTTTAAATGTTGTAAAACAACACAACATGTAAGAAATATATCAGAAGCCAAAATATATCGCCAACTGCCAGAATGTGGTCTTTTCATGTGAACCAGTTCAGTCGTCTAAAATGAGTCATCAGATGTGTCGACCGGGCGTGACTGCTACTTTTAAAATCTTTCCAGACTTTCAGGTATTTCACCCGTTGGCCGCTGAGGGCTCACCTGTCGTACACCTGTGTGAGGAGTCCCACCTTGTGCCAAAGTGACACACACCACCTAACTGATTCACTGAAAGCTTTAAACACACACACATGTGTGACTGACACTGCATGTGAGCACAGACACACCTTCTGTGTGAGGTGTGTCTGTACCTGGGGGAGGAGGGGGCGGGACTTCAGACTTGTCTCCAAACCGAACCCCGACCTGTTTTCAGAGGACGCTCTGCCATCCTGTGTGTGTGTCACATAAAGTCAAGTAAGTGCATTTGCTTTCCGATAAATAGGCAATATTCACCAGAGATGGAATTATTTTAGAAAAACAAACATGTAGTGGTAATATTAGTAGATACAACATCTGTTAAAACGTCTTCGCAGAGATGCAGTTAAATAGTGTGCTGATGTGTGTTTGTTGTCCTGGATGCATCGTACTTTATTATTGTGTCATGTTCAGGATGATTGTTTGAGTGTCAGCACATCAGGTCAAGACAATTCTATTTACTGATGAAGCTTCAGGGAAATCCATTTGTACAGAATCATGACTTTCCGTTACTTGTCTCCACAGCTCTTGTCTACGTGCCCGTCGTTGAGCCGCCACCATGCCTGAGCATGCAGAAGCCCACTCCCACACCATCCCCACCAACCGCAACTGCACCATAGAGATCACCAACGTCAGCTCCACCTTCTGCCTCGTCAACCCAAAGTAAGAATCGCTGTTGGATGATTAACTGATTTTCTTGTTGTGTACGAACCAATAAATAAAACTGACAAATGATTAAATACCTGAAATGTATTTAATCCTTTTATGCATGACTACTAGTGGTAGAAAGTACATTTATTCATACTTATACTAATTCAGATTTTATTTAAAAAGTCAATGATCTCATAAAATAAAACACATTTTTAGAAATTAAAGAGTGATTTCCAACATTTTTTGGCTGATCATGTTTCAGATGTTAAGTGTCACTTCTAAACTTCTCAGATGGTTTCCTTGATTAAAATCTCATTAAATGGAGGGGCCCCACCCCATGTTGGGAACCACTGCACTACACCGTAGCCTTTTGTTTCTTTTTCTGCAGAAACCAGTACTTTGTTGAAGCACATTTGTCATTCTGTATTTTACTAAAGAAGGATTTTACTTGTGATGGAGTATTTGTACATTGTGGTATTAGAACTTGAGTCTGAATGCTTCTACCCTCTTCTTCCCTGCAGGGTGCACATGGAAAGCGGCTTCGCCTATAATCCTCCACAGCCGACCCTGCGTCCCCAGCTGACCGAGGTGTGCTCCTTCACCAAGGACGACAACACGGCTTCGGGCGCCGTGGGGGTCATGACCTACGAGCTGTTCAACATGCAGGACCGCCACTGCAACGAGGTGATCGCCATCATGTTCTCGGTGCCCTTCGACTACACTTTCTACAAAAACTGGCTCGGCGTGGGCATATTTGAGCACACGCGGGCCTGCGATGGGAAGCTGTTCGACTACATGTACAAGGGGAAGGATTTCACCAACTTTGTGCGCCACGAGGCCGACGGCTCAGGGGTGTCGTACGGGGGGAGGTCTGTGGATGTGAGGGCGTGCATGTCCGACGAGGGCCAGGCCATCGTCAAACTGGAGGTGTACGACAAGATGGGCAGATGAGTCACATCGGGGCAGTTCCTTCAAACCTGCATGTAATATGTGTGTCATTCATGTCATGTCATGTACGGGCGCTTTAAATGAATAAAAAAACAATGGAATGGATTTCTGGTCTTTGATGTTTCTTTTCGTGTCTTTAAATTTGAATCATCACACATGGTCACAAACTATTCAGCAGGAAAAAAACATGAATGGTGCTTCACTTTGAGTGAAATGTAAAATAACCACAGTCAGACTGCAGACGGTAGAAACCACAGAGATAAAAGGTGTTGTGCAGAAGGAGACACTGAACAAACCGGCCTGTATCTTTGCAAAAATTAGATCATTATGAAAACAAAAACAAGAAATACCGCAGTAATGTATCTGTCGGCTGCACCCTTCATTCCTCAGGAGACAAAACAATCACTACTCTGAGCCACAGGTGAAGGTGTGTGCGCTCTGTGGGTGGTGACAGTTTTTTGGGTGAGGTTTTTGGGTGTCACATGTTCCCCAGCAAAGAACGATCCAAAGAGTGAATCCTGTGTTTCATATCTGGAATCGCCAGAGTGAGCAGCACACCTGTGACCCTCGGACAGGTAAGCAGTTTATTTTTTTCCTCTGCTTTATTTGGAGGTTTATGTTAAAATGTTCTTTTAAGTTTAGGCTTTAACAGCGTGCATTTGTTTGTTTGTATTCTACACATTTTCAACATCAGTGTGTGAGTGTGTGTGTGTGTGTTAAACTGCTCCCTGTATTTCTAATGCTCTGTCGCAGCTTTTTACCAGCAACAATATGAGTGAATCAGCGGAGGCTTTGGCTGCTAACCAGAAAAGCAGAAGAAATGTCACCATTGAGATCACCAACCTCACCAACGGCTACTGCCTCATCGACCCCAAGTAAGTCCAACACGTAGAACACAATACTGCTAAAAAACGGCGGATGTTCATGTACACTGTAAAATGTAATAAGTTGACTTTACCTTAAAAAAAAGTCAGGAAAACGATTGCCTAAAAATTTGTTAAGTCAAGTAGCTCATTCATTTTAAGTTGGTAAAGTTGAAATTGTTTAGGCAACTCATGTCATTGCAGTAAACTTTAGTGTAGTTAACTCAAAATTTATAATTAGGTTAACTATATGTCAATGTGTCAATTCAGACAACTTAAAGATCTGAGTGAAGTTAACTTAAAATAGTTAATTATGTTGACTATAAATAGTGAATTCAGACAACTTAAAGATCTAAGTAATATAAGAAAAAGTACAATGTAATATTATCATAGGAAAGCATACTTGATAAAGTATGCTTATTTAATATATTTAATATTCTAGTTGTAGTTTGGTAGATTTAGTGTCTTCTAATAGTTTATTGTGTATTTTATAGATTTATAGCTCTAGTGTTGTATATGTACAACACTAGAGTATGTATATATTTACTGCTGCCGTGTATAACCTGCTGCTGTAACACAATCATTTTCCATCCATCCATCTATTTCCTTTGAGGAAATTATGGTTAAAGTACAGCTTGAATAAAACTACAGCGTTTTCTACCCATTCCTTACTTTACATTTTATTTTCTTTCTTTCTTGGCGTTAAAAAAACAAAAGGGTTTACCTGGATAGCGGCAACTGCCACAGCCCCCCCCAACCCACCGTGCGCCCTTTGAAAACCGAGGTGTGCAACTTCAGCAAGACCAGCGGCAGTGCCACGGGCGCGGTGGGCGTCCTGACCTACGACATGTTTGAGAGGAAAAGCAACAGCGCCAAAGAGAAAATAGCCATAATGTTCTCCGTGCCCTACGACAACAACGTGTATCAGAACTGGTTGGCCCTGGGGATCTTCAACCAGGACAAAGAGTGCAACGAGAAGCTGTACAAGGAGATGTATGAAAACAAAGAGCAAAGCGGCTTCGTGAGGGAGGAGGCCAAAGGCAGCAGTCTCACGTTTGAGGGCCCTCACTTTGACCTCAAGGCGACCATGTCCCCGATGGGCAGGGCCATGCTGAAGGTGGAGGTGTGGGACAAGCTCTTCACTCCAAAGATGCAACAACACCACTAAACCAGTGATTAATTTTGACTAAATAATCCGGGTTGACACAGTGTTTGATATGTTTAGCCCTCTGTACGTCTGTGCTACTGCACCATTCATGCAATAAATCCAGTGTGATATGAGGAAAATGTGTGTCTTAGTGATCATTACAGAAACAAAAATAAAAAGGTCTAGTGAGTCCAACTTGTGGAAGGAGTTCATGTTTGTCTGAATGAGTCATCTCTTAAAGCACAAATATCATCCCTATTTATTTTATACATCATCAGAAAGCAGCAATTAATGAAGATGAATTCTGTTTTAAATATAAAACAAAAGATCAAAGACATTATTTAGTAAATAATAATATAAATGAGGAATTGATTTCCAAGATAATGAGGTCTGGTGTTACTTTGAATTACCAACAAATTAAACTTTGTGGTAAAATCCGTCCAGTTGCAGAATACAGTCAGCAGAAGCTGCCACTCATCTGCATGTGTTGCACAAGGTCACCACCTAGTGGTCACAAAGAACATGTACAACTTCAAACCTGCAGTGGAGGCATTGCAACCTGTATGTACTCAACATATCAAACCATAGTGTCGACGAGCATCATGACTTATGTGGAGGAATATGAAATATGTGTTTTACGGCAACCGAAGGTAAAAAAAAGCTCTGGTTTCAAATGCTTGAAACAGAAGTTTGAGATTTTGGGAAGTACGCATATTCACTGTCTTGAGAGTTAGATGAGAAGATTGATACCTCTCATGAATGCAGAAAATATGAAGCTACAGCCAGCAGCTGGTTAGCTTAGCTTAGCATAAAGACTGGAAACAGAGGAAAACAGCTAGCATGGCTCTGTTCAAAGGTATCAAAATATGCTTGCTGCACCTCTAATATCTAAATTAATATGTTGTAGTAAACCAAAGTGTAAAAACAACAAGTAAAGTTTTTTCTATGCTAAGCTAAGCTATCCGCCTCCTGGCTCCAACCTTATACTTAACTGACCGATATGAGAGTGGTATCAATCTTCTTGTCTAAATCAAATTTATTGATTGTTTTTGTTTGCTTGCATTCATTGTTTCTCATCATTTGTTACTTGTGTAATCTGTTTGGATATAAAGTGTGATATATGTATATACATATACAGTATGTGTATGTATCTTGCCTTCCCTAACTTTTAGCAAGAAAATGAATAAGAGTAGTTCCCAACATGTAATAACTATTACTTTAAAACCTGCAATATTTACATTAATGTGACAAGGACCTATAGCGGGTCGAAGCAGCATAAAAGCTACCAATGTTTGTATCCCCAAAACAAACACCAGGGGTAAACAACAACAACAGCAAAATAATCACCTCATGTCTTGATCATGTCTGTCCTTTAACTCTTATTAGGTGATTCTTTCGCTTTCTTTTCCCACCGGAGTTCTGCTTTTCTTCCTAAATGTATTTTAGGAAAACAAACATTTTGAAGTCCTTTAGGTTCCTTTTACAGTCAAACACGATCATATATATATAAATTTGCTCTTTTGTAACACATTGGATGGCACTGTATACATATTTATCCTTTAATTAAATGATATTAGCATTAATATTCTAAGATGTAACTATTGTAAGAATATAGTCAGTGTGTGTTTGTGTCTGCAGGATCAGTCTGATCCAGAACACTGCTCGTAGAAAACATTGACCGCAGCACCGAACCTGTCCCTCAGATACTTCTCCAGTGTTTCCAGTGGCATTTGTCTCACATCAAAACCTCTGAACTGTTTCTTAGCCGTCTGGCTGACGGGAACAATCTCTTCGGTGCTGTTGCGGTCGTTGCGGCCGATGGCGGCGTACGTCGGGAAAGCATCCCTCAGTTCTTCCGGAAGACTGTTGTTGTAGTTCGGGCAGCAGTAGGCGGACCAGAGATACTCGGGCACGGCCACGCGATGGTTCCTGAGCCAGTGCTCGTCGCTCTGGTAAGGGATGACGCCGGTCACCACGTGGGCCTCTCCGAGACAGTAGGCCGCCAAGGTTGTGTTGACGGTCTGCTCCAGGGCCTCCCAGGGCCCGTCGTTGGAGCCGGCCTTCTGAGGAACCACGTTGGTGAGGGTGAAGGTGGACGAGCGGTCCTCGTGGCTCTGGTGGTGGAGGCTGGGGTTCAAGTGGCCGCGAGAATAGGTGGAGTTGATGTAGTCCAGCTCCACCGCTTGGCTGTCCACCACGTTCTGGTCCAGAGGGCCCGGAGGGAAGGGGATCATGTTGCCGTCGGCTCCTGGGTAGGCTAACTGTTCATGGAGGGGGGGGGGTAGTGATTTAAAAGTGATGAATGACAACGTGGACAAAATGCTGCTTTCAGGTAAATAACTACTTAGTAAGGTTTAGCTAAAGATCATCAAATACTTTGGTATTGGTTAAAAATACCAAATTGGTTTAAAAAAAACGGAAGTGGCGTAACTACATTACGCAAGTTACGTGACACTGACTTCTCTTTTCACACAGGGAAACGTTTATCATTTTCAACATCTTAGCATAGCCTATTAGCATGCTAACATGTGCTATTTAGCGCTAAACACCAAATACAGCTGAGGCTGATGGGATTTTCATTGGTTTTTGCAGCTATTATTTGCCTGTTATTGGGTTTGATCCTCTTGGGACCAAGAATGTAATGAATGTACTGAATGTACTGATTAATCCCGTTAGCAATGCTAAAAAATACTTAAGTCAAGAGTTCTAATCCTGCATCATAAGTAGCCATCACAAGAAGTGAAATGTTATTTTATTTTTTCACATTTATTTATTAATTTAACTGAATTTAACCTTTTCTGTATGTTTTATCCCCATTTATTATTGTTTAAAGATATAATCTTGAGGTTTTCATTTAAATATCTTATTTTAGTAGAATTCATTTCTTTCTTGTTGTTCAACAACAGTCAACGTTGACTTTCAAAAGAACCAGAATCTAACCCACTATTTATAATTTGTGTGTAGCTGTAGAACAAGGTGATTAACATCTTCACAAGTAGATGATTATAAATAATGGATGTATTGTTTGGACACCTATATACCTTTGATCGTGTACTAGGTTTGCTTCCACAGCATTCTAATCTAATAACATGAACCAGAGAGTTTAGAGAGCACGAACACACAAAGGAGACAGTTCTGCTTTACTCCGGCTCATTTCCTCATTTTCTTGTTCTTCACTGTAAAGTGTAAACACCCGTAGAGTTCTTTTCACTCTGAGAAATATTATATAACTGATGCAAAACTGGAACATCAGTATGTATAAAACATTGTCTTGTTTCAGTGCAATATTGAGTTAAAGCAGTTACATTTAAAAACACATGTGAATAAGTAATTTACTAAATGAGTGTGACTAGTGCATCAATTTAAACCCCAGACTTGTAAACCTACTTATATGTATATTGTGAACAGCTCACCTCTGACCTTATTTATTACTTTATGGGATGCTAACAATTATTGCGAACACTATTCATAAAGTTTTTTTATCAAGAATATACATTTTTAAAAACACAAAAACTTTAAATGGTATAAATTTTAAATAAAAAAAACTGAAAAGCAGTCCTGGCTAAGACGACAGCATAAAAGTTTCACACATAGAAGAACAATTCAGAGACTTAAAAACAAAAAGATAAGAACAAAACAGACATTTCACATAAAAGAGACTTAAAACAAAGTAACAAATGAATTAGTGTTCAGTAACAGGACAAGAATATCAGTGATCAAACAGTTCTTAATCCTGTTTTTAAATGATTGCATCCTCATAAAACAATACAAATGTTTAAAGCGTCTCTGTGGCTCACAACAAAGTCATTTCAAATCTGTGAATCAACACCACGTTTTAATTTGCTCACCTGAGGCTCAAACTTCCAGCATGAGGTGGGTCTCTTTCCTGCTGGTGCAGAGTACAAATATGCCGAGAACCACGGAGAGCGGCGCGGCCGACTGTACAGCGCGGCGAAGCGGTACTGGTTGTTATACCGTTGGCAGATCGGGGTCCCCGCCAGACCTTTAGGAGGCCATGACTTATAAAAGACCTGCAGGCACGGAGCGAAATCCCCAACGTCGGCTGCACACATGATGCACCAGCCGGCAGTGAAGACCAGGACGAGCGCAGCGCTGAAATCAGACATCTTGATGAAGGACCGTTGGTGGTGAGATCCAGAAGTCAAATGCCCAAAGATGTGTCATGCCACTCTGAGGGAAAAGCAGGGAGTGTTGTTCTCCTTTTCATCAACACGTGACCTTTTGGTGAAAGCAGAAGTCCATTTTCACCATTAGTTTCAGTCAAATCCCTTGAATCTGCTTGTGTTGACTGTTGTACTTCAGTAAATTTCACTTCTTCCTCTTACACACAAAGAGTGGAGTTCAGAAGCAATAAAACACTATAATCAATCACACTTTACTTTACAAACCACTCAGCAGCTAAAGTAAAGTGTGCCATTGTTGAGCGCTAAATGTGTATTAATAGTCCCCAACAAATGCACTATTTCCTCTTGTTTGTGTACCGTTTGATGAGAACTGCAGTGACCAGGTGTTTTAGGCTATTCCGATTCAGAATAGGGAAGTCGGAGAGTATCGACAGACTGACAAACACATTGTTGGTTTCAGTCACTTCGTGGAGTTTGTTGACGATAACGAAAATACAATTTGTTTCTTGTGTTTTTGGTGAGCCAAAGATGTGTGATGCTCCCAAGGAACCAGAAATACCCAACATTTGATTGAATGTATTCGAGAGAAAAAAAGAGATAGAAAGAACTCACGGTTCTTTCTGTCACATAATATTTTTCTTGTTAGCGGAATTACTTTTTTTTCTTCAGGAGGAGCTCATTGTGAAGCTCACAGCAGGCCAACAAATAAAATATCTGTTTTGGGAAGAGTGTCTGCAGCACACGGAGAATGAGGGTGGGCTCTGTGGGAAAGCTGTTCTCCTCTCCTCCCCTTCAAAACGCACACATACATACTGTAGTCCATTTGTTGGACCACCCTCCCCCAACACCCTCTCCTCCTTATGTAACACAATAATCGGGGGTTTGGACTTTGGATTCTTTTCCATGCAGACCCTGGGCTTCACTTGACCAGAGCAGCTGAAAGTACATTTCCACACTGCTTCTGAGATTGAAAGGTAGGTTTCAACACTTTTTACACAATGCATTCACAACTCAGTTAAATGCCTTCAAAGCATTACTGAAAAATAGAGACTCTGTTTTGCTGCCACTAACCTCTGCAGGACTCAAAGTGTGCGGCTGATCTGCAGGCAAGAGTGCACAGTGTTAGATTCCTCTTTGACTTTCTGAACTACAGGAAACTCGACACTTGGTTTTTTTGCATGCTATGAATGGAGACTCCGCTAAGTGTTAGCAAGTCCTGGCTGAATGCAGATAATGAGATTAGAGCGCGTAACAGCAGGCTTAAGTTAGCACAGGCATTCCTCTGGACTTTGATCGGTTAAATCAACATTCCAGGTTTTCCTTTTTAGGGCATTCACTGTTGGCGTCCATATAGTCATTTCCTTCTGGTTTTAAGTGTAAACCCTAGCAACTGGTTTGGTATTTGCAGATACATTTCCATCTTGTTTTAGTTTGTTTTCTTCTGGCAATAAGCACGAGTTTTAAAGTACTTGTACTTGTTTGTTCTCTCCCTCAAGGTTGTTCGATGGGGAGCATCCCAGATGTTTCTTTTCTGCTTCTGGTGGTGAGTGTGTCCCTCCTGACAAGCTCCAGTGTGCAGGGCGGAAAGATTCTGGTGTTCCCAGTGGATGGAAGCCACTGGGTCAACATGAACTTGCTAATCCAGAGCCTCCACTCCAGGGGCCACGAGGTCACCGTGGTCCGCACAGCCACCAGCTGGTACGTCAAGGAAAATGCTCCACATTACCACTCCCTCACCATCACCTTACCGGCAGCCATCAGCATAGAGCAGGAGGACTTCTTTGTGACCTTCCTGGTCAAGATGCTGGTGATTCACAAAGAGGGGGCGACACTTAGCGGCTTTGTGAAGTTCTACTGGGAAATGCTCGGTACGCTGTCGAACATTCACCGACAGGCCAGCTTGTTGGGGGTAGAAATGTTTGAGAACAAGACTCTGATGCAGAGTATTCGTGACACTCAGTTTGACGTGGTTCTTCTGGACCCGGGGTTGCCGGTTGGAGTTCTGGTGGCTCATGAACTTAAGCTGCCGACTGTTTTTAACGTGAGATGGATCACCAGTGGAGAGGGACATTTTGTGGTGGCTCCATCTCCAACATCCTATGTTCCAACATCAGGATACGCCGCGTCGGATAAGATGACCTTTGGGCAACGGGTCAAGAACACATTCCACTATTTTCTCAACACATGCATTGACAAGTTTATAGTATGCCCTCATTATGATAGACTGGTAGAGAGGTACTTTGGTCCAGATATGAAGTTCTATCACCTTCTACAAGCAGCAGACATCTGGCTCATGAGGGTGGATTTTGTCTTTGAATTTCCCAGACCAACCATGCCAAACATCGCCTACATTGGTGGTTTCCAGTCAAAGCCTTCTAAGCCTTTATCATCAGAGCTGGAGGAGTTTGTTGAAAGTTCAGGAGAGCATGGATTCATCCTGATGTCTCTTGGCACACTGGTGAACGGCCTACCTGTAGAAATCACTTCTGAAATCGCTGCTGCTTTTGCCCAACTTCCTCAAAAGGTCATATGGAGGCATGCCATTGAGCCCCCCAACAATTTGGGCAACAACACCCTACTGGTAAAATGGATGCCCCAGAACGACCTCTTGGGTCACCCAAAGATTAAAGCCTTTGTGGCTCACGGTGGTACCAACGGGATCTACGAATCCATGTACCACGGGGTGCCGATAATAGGCATACCCCTTCTGTTTGACCAGTTTGAGAACGTTTTGAGATTGGAGGCACGAGGAGCCGCTAAGGTGGTGGATGTGACCAAACTCACTCGCCAGAGCTTTCTGGAAGCGATACAAGAAGTTGTTCACAATCCCTCCTACAGAAATAACATGAAGCGTCTCTCTGCGCTCCATCGGGATAAACCGATGCATCCTCTGGAAACTGCACTTTACTGGATTGAGTTTGTTATGAGGCACAAAGGAGCTTCACATTTACGCACTGAGTCCTATAAGATGCCCTGGTACGCCTATTATTCTGTGGATGTTATATGCTTTTTGGTAGCAGTCTTGTTGATGCTGACAGCTGTTGTAGTGGGATCAATACGATTTCTTTGCATTCGACTGTGCAGGAGGAGAAAAACCAAAAAGGACTAATTTCTGACTCCTAAGATTAGTTCACATTAAAATGAATTAGTCTTCTTAAACAACAGGGCTGGGGATGTTTTGTCGTCTAGCCGTTGCTCTAGGGATGGCAATATTGGTTGGTTGGTAGGTCTGATGGTCACCCACTTTGGTCCAGACTGAAACTACTCAACAACTATTGACTATTGAATGGGTTGCCATACAATTTTGCCAACAAAATCATGTTCCCAAGAGTAGGTATCCTAATCTGTTTGGTAATCCATCAAAACAGATTTTTGGTTTGAGCGAAATGTCTCAATAACTATTTGATGGATTGGCGTTAAATACGGTACAGATGTTCATGTTGCCCGGAGGATAGTTCCTGATCAATGTGGTGATCCCCTTCTTTTTTTTGTCATACAACTAAACTGGACTGTCAATTAGGTTTTCGAGGGGAACGTATTTTCTCACAGTGGCAGATTTAAACCCACGGTAAACGTTATAAATTGAAACAAAGCAAAACAAAACAAAAAAAACGTTACAAAACGACTTGGTTATGTTTAGTAAAACTATCATGGCTTGGCTTAAAATTACTACGAAATTGAAACAAAACAAAACTCAGTAGAAGTACTTGGTTATGTTTCGGCAACAAATCCACTTGGTTCACATGGGACACAAACAGTCTTCTGGGTGAAAGCCTCGTTTTTGACCCATTCTCCACCCCGAGTCCAAAGTGTTGGATCAGAACAATCAAAACATTTGTACTTTTGTACCTTTCACTATTGCATTCATCAAATATAGAAAAGTAGGTGGATTTCCTTCCAGTAGACAACCGTGTTGTAAACTGTATTTTCTGCATTAAATGTTTAGTTGTACTATTAGTCGTTTATTAAGTATTTGAAATGTCTGAAATGTCCAAAAATACATAACAGCCTTATTTCATGTTTTATTTGCTTTTATACGGATCTGCATTTCAAAACGAATGCTGCAACTTTATGTTGTGTATTATCTTGGTGTTGTCACTTGAAGAAAGAAAACGCAGTCTGTTTTACCTGAAGAAACATACTTGAAAATAAAAAAGTAAGAAAAGACTTGACAGATTCTGTTTTTATTTCCTGCAATAGAGCAAATGGAAAATTGGACTCTGAAGACTAATTTTTGTTTTATTTGGAAAGAAACATGTACACTATCACCACTCAGATGTCATGTATGTACAGTACACATCAAACATATAGTCCTATAATATCCTCCGTATTAAAAAGTATATTTACAACATGAAATGAGAAATAAAAATGTTCTTGGACGATTTAAACATTCTTTTCACAGATCCATCTATAAGGTATCTCACAGGAACCATCCATCCAGGACTTGAGAGCGTTTTCACTGGCGTCCATGTGTCCACAGTCTTCTCCAAGAGGGTTGTCCAACTTCCAGTTGTCCGGCTCCGTCCCCAGTCCTGGTCTGCTCAGCCAGTACCTGCAGGAAAAGAAACATCAAATGTATTATATCGGGAGAAGGCTCTTGAGATGTATCTTGTTGTTTTCACAAAATATATAAAACAACAGAACAGTAAGACACAATGTTATCTAACACAACAATGAATAACCAAACAAATAACAAACCAAAAAATGAACTTTGACTTACTGGACATCTGAAGTGAGCGGGCTGCCGTCCACCCATCTCCATTCACCCTCTTCCTCCGCATCCGTCAGACCGATCCACAGCCTGCTGCTCGTCTGAGGAGCCTGGCTGCTCTCAAAGACAAAGCTCTAAAGAAGAGAACAGATGAGTCGGATCATGAGACGGCTGGAAACAGATTTGTTTAATTGTTGCATGTCCCCCTCTTGTTGTCCTCTACCTGTTCTGGTTCACTGTTGATGATGAGCAGGTCGCCCCCTTGTGTCTGGCACCAGGCTCTGCTGGAGCTCCAGCTGAGCTTGCGAGACGAGAAGAAGTAGCATTTGTTCTCAAATAGTCTCCAGCTGTCGGGACACTTTCTGCAGATCCGTGCTGTGGAGAAAGAAACGATGTCTTTGTATAGTTAACAGTTCTCTCTTAACATCCAGTTTTCTCCTTTTATTTGAGCCTTAATAGCTTTAAGTTCTGATGTATTTATTTTTGTAAAATTTTCCTTTGATGTTACTTATTTTGTAGAGTAAGTTCGGTGATATTCTAAATCTGTCTTATTGTCAACAAATCCCTTAAAAAGACCGAAACCAACAATGAACGTATTACAAGTAACAAAGACTGATGTGTTGTCTTCCTCTGTGGCAGAGAGCTACACTGCCCAAAGGATATTAAAAAATAGACGTCAACCTCCAGTTCGCTACCAGCTTTGTCAGATGAACTTGAACTGGCCAACATGCCTTCACACTGTGAGTTGATTTAATCAAAGCTACCATCAACATGGCTAAACAACTGCACATGCACCTTTAGTCTTGGGATTAACCACAGGGCAGTAGAGGTCCAGAGAGCGGAAGGCCTCCTTTATTGAATCGATGTCCGCCATCTTTCGGTCCATCTCGTCTCTCCTGCTTTCCTCTCTCTCTGCTGCTTCCTGCCTCTCTGTCGTCAACGTGGAGTTCAGGTTCAATGTCTTCACGCTCAAAGCCTGAAACTCAATTTTGTCCTCACAAAGATAGCAAACACACAAATACACACATGGACCACCAGGAACCGCCGCAGATTTAAGTGACCTTTATTTTCGTAGAAGCATCACACTGACACACTTTATTGTTTGTGTGTGCACTCGTAGCTCACCGTGTGTGCAGCTTCTTGCAGCTTTGCGTGCATTTGGTTTGGTTTAGTTTGTTTATCTGCACAAATAATAAAAAACATGTTAATGCGTTATAGAAGTAAAAGTGTTGCGCAGGTCAGAAAACACCCAAAGGGCTTTTACAGAGATCTGACCAAAAAAGGGAAAAAAGAAAAGAAAGAAAACACAGAAATTACTAACAACAAGCAAATGCATCTGCTAGAAAAGACAGCAGGAGAACATTGGCCACAAAATACTAAATTAAAGTTTGGCTCAACAAATAAGCTTTGACAGAGTATTCTGTTGCAATAAAAAGGCTTTTAATCCACAGCTGAGCTCCCTTGAATCTGAGAGTGAATTTTGTTTTGTTTAAATATAATAACGCACACGTCTAGTGTTATATGTGTGGATTAATGAATTTGTCTGAGAAACGTAAGAGGTACCAAATCAGGCTGATGCACACATTTGTGAAATATATATTGATATTGATGAATTACTGAGCAGGCATACACTCAGTGTCACTCAGAGTTACACAAACCAACCAGGAAGAGACTCAAAAAGAACTCAAAGAAACATAAACAGCTACGAAGAGAAACAAAATGACTACAAATAGATGCAAAACGGCTGCAAGAAAGACACAAAGTGACTCCCGTCAATGATGAAAAGGGACAAAATAACCACAAAGAGACACTGAACAACGACAACAAAGGTTAAACATCTGTAAAGTCGGTGTGTCGTGTTCCTGTAGAGGTGGTGGTCTGTGCCCATGGGCCCATTGTCCCATAATCATTCCAATAATATGTACATCCTGGTTCTTTAAATACGGGACAACATATGTTGTACATAGAGAAGTCTGATTTACAGACAATATATAATGATTTTATTAGTGAGTTTAGAGATGCTAACAGGCTGACTTTGTTTCTTATACAATAGAACCAGACTTGCAGTCTCAAGGAGCAGTGTGAAGGATTTAGTGGCATCTCGTGGTGAGGTTGCAGATTGCAATCAGCTGTAAATGCGCTACACTGGCCCTTTAAATATGCATTTAAAGCCAGGAGTGGGTTAGCCTAGCTTAGCATAAAGAACCCCCTGTCCTTTAGATGCCTACCACGACCACTAGATGCCTCTAAATCCTACACACTGCTCCTTTAAAACAAACCAAGTGTCAGTGAAACACATTTAAGCAAAACATATACAAAGTGGAAAACGTTGACATTTTATAAATTGAGATTTAGTTCACATTTAGATTTAAGGTTGCTTCATAACTTCATTCTCAACTTTTCATTTCCTACCAGACTGGATCATACAGTAAATACAGATTATGTTGAAGTTTAATGGAGCATGAGAGTCCAACACAACTCACACTTGGACACTACTTTTCCAAACCACCAGATAAACCAGTACGGGGATGAGGCTCACAGGGACGAGCGTGAGGGCGACCACCAGCCCGTGAGGTGCGTCCTCAAACGGAAGCTCCTCCTTAGAGCAGTCGTGGAAGTAGTAAGAGTGGACGGAGCGGAAGATGTCCTGGGTGATGGGGTTTGGGTAATAACAGCCAGTAAAATTAGACACAATCTCCAAGCAGAGCGTCATGTCGTTGTATGATCTGAAAAAGATCGAGAAACCAGTGAATTAACCAGCCGGCAACCTCCAGTTCTGAAACATGAAGCCGATGCTTCATGTGTTAAAGCTGCATTCTCTCTAGTGTCC